TCTTTATGTTCTCCAAGTTGAAGCTATTTTTTCTTCCTTAACCCCTCTCTGTCTGACCTTTTCAGGCTGTTGTTTATAATAAGTATTTCTTAAAGAAGACTCATAATTATTTTTCAAACACATCTCTTGTATTTTTGTTCTGTTTTCTTTACTACTTTTTGACTTTAGTTTTGTCCCTTATTATTTTCATCACCCACGGAGCAATATTTATCCCTAGTTAAGTAATGTTAATGAGAACTGTTTCATAACTCAAAACAATAAATATCATTGGTTAAGGTATTTTCCTAAATCAAGTATTTTTAATCTAAGGTAATTTAACACTTTAAAATTAGTACAACACTTTTTAAGACTGCGACTGTTATGAAAATTATCGAAATGTTATTGAAAAGAAGACATTATAATAGTCGACACCTGTGTCTAACTAACACAAAAAATTCTTTCACATCCACAGAGAAACCCAGAGAGGCCTGTTTTGACCCCGGTAACATCATGAACGGCAGTCGGACAGGCTATGACTACAAACTAGGATCTCAGGTCTCCTACAGCTGTCACCATGGCTACACGATAGTCGGTAGTGAAACCGTTATGTGTGTCATGGGAAAGGATGGGAAACCAGTATGGGACAAAGCCCTACCATCATGTAAAGGTAAGAAAGATACAGAAGCATGATTTTATTTTTGTTTTAATAAGACGTTACACACTAAATTTAACAAAAGGAAAAGTTAACCTCCCTCTGCAAAATTACTCAGCAGTAATCAGTTTGTTCCAACAGCTGTGAAGTTAAAGCTTTGAGTTTTTTATCAGTTTCTTGAACATCTCTGAAAAAGACAAATCTGATGTAATAGAAAAAAAATTTCTGGGTGTTTGTAGGTGTAAATGATCATTCTGTGATTATATAGCATCTGACTGAAAAGAGAGTCTAGGAATTAATTTCAATTAACACTCACCAAATATAGCTTAGAAAATATGAAGATGTAAAAACTCAAAAGGAATAACATATTTTGTTTCTACAAAGATTTTTCTTTACCTGAGATATATATATTTTTTAATGAGAAAGACGCGACTTGATGCCGAGCAATTTGTACATTTCTAGTTTTTTTCTCACTGCAGTTCACAGTGGGAACCTCGTTATTCCAAATTTCCACCAACATCTACATTTTCAATTTTTCAGCAGCGGTAAATTACATGTCATTCTCAATACTAACATGATTACCAAGGAACTCAATTTAGATAGCAGTGTCATGGCAATTTATGATGACTGATTGTTGAAACTTGTTGAAATCAATCTAAGACTTATTGGTTCAGGATTGCGAGCTCATCTGGTGGCAACGGTGTGTTATCAGAGTTGGTCAGGTCTTGTAGTCTAAGCCGTCTATTTGATTGGCAGCTCAAGGAGGCAATAAAGTGACACCTGTCAAAATGCTATTAAAGCTGTGTATTTGCTGTGTGCAAAAATTGAAATGAAGTGACCTCTCACAAATACCTTGTAGGGACACATTTCAAAATGTAAGGTATACAGTGTCTAAAGATTTACACATACTGCTGTCTATTTATAGCTCATAATGATTTCATAATTCTCCTATAGGCTGTGTTTAATAAAGCCTGAGTAGTAAAGTGGGTTGGAAGTGGGAGATGGGAAGAGTAAAGATGAGGTAAAAGCGCTATGAAATGCAATTTTAGAACAGTAATGGAAAAAGCGCCAAAAAAAAGATAATTCAAGCTATTTTATCTCATCTGCTTTTTTTTTTTTTAGATGAAAAAAATCTGTGTAATCTACGGGACAAGTGTAGTAAAGTGTTGAAGACGTTAATGATAACAAATTTGCAGTTTTACTTCAAGATTCTAGGTAGCCAAAAGGCGATATTTTTTTGACACTCCTGATTTTATTGTCGCTGTTATAAAAAGGCTCTTGAACTGAGATGATACAACCATAAATCTTTCGTTTTTTCAGACCATTTAATATTGCTAACTTCAGATAATTCAAACACCAAATAGTTTGAAATTCTTGACGTGACATAGCTTCATATCTTAAGAGGAATAATTACTTGTGGTTTGCATAACCTTCTCACTCAAATGAATGTGTAAATTGCACACATGCGCCACAGTTCTGTTACGCTGGGCAGATTGGAGCAATCATAGGCAATTCTATGGTTTCAGGTTGCCATGCAGTGCATTTTGCATCATAGACGCACTGGCAGCAGGCTGCTTCTCTAAAATAGGTAGCTGTTCTATTTTTGGCGCTTCCACTCGACGTCAATCTAGAGAAGAAAACATCATTCAGGCAGGAAGTTATTTAATGAAATGCAAAGTAGATCCTGTCTTCATTTAAAATAAAGGCCTATGTGCAGACTGCGAATCACATTTTCTGGAGTTTTATGTACCGTAATCAGAAAATTTTACAAACAGTTAAACTACAGCCGTAAAATATAAGCAGTGAATAAAAAAGACTTGGACAACTTTTATTGTCATTTTGTATACACTGAGTTTATACAAAAGAAAATTTTGTTTCGTACAGATTTCATGACGTTTCCATTTCTTAAAGTGCAGCAGTGATCAAATGTAAACAGTGTGAGAAAAAAAAAACATGGTGCAAAAAACACCATCATATGAAAGTTCAAAGCATAAAAAAAAAAAAAAAAAAAAAAAAAACCTTACTATTTGAATTTACTATATTAAACAGTGGAGTTATATGAGCAAATTATTGATATAGAGATAAGATCAACTTTGTTATCCCAATAATGGGATATGAAATAGTTTGAGAAGCGAGACTGGTTAAATGTTGACATCTTGTATTGTAATGTTATGAAAATTATATGAATAATTATATAAAAAAAGGAAAAACAAAATATAAATATCTGGGAACAAAAGTGGAATAAAGTGTACAGACAACTTGGAACAGAGAAATTAAAAAAGGAACAGACCTTTAATGTCTTAAAATAATTGGATAAAGACTGAGATTGATATAGACATAAGTGCACACTCTAAAAAAAACAATAATATATACAGTAATTTATACATACATAAAAGGAATTTGTTAATAAGCTAAATACTATAACTATTCATGTATTGTACAGTAGTACAGTAGCCATTGCGTTAATGATGATATAAAATTATGTTACCATGTACTGTACCTCTCTGGGTTATGGTTGCAGTGTATAGTGCTTGTAATATTCCAGGCTGGTCCATGAAAGCAGAGAGACACACTTGGCCTTATGGAACTATATTTTTGTATTCTTGTTGAAAATCTTTCCTATTCTTCCCTGCACTGTGGACTCCTACGAACGCACCACATCGATTCAACAAATGTTCTTAACTTCAGTAAATGATCCCCTAATCCTCATGCAGTCTACCTGTGTGTACAGTAACTGAGCACAAATTCCTGAGAAATGTAAACCTGAATAATTACCGTCCCGATAATGCCATATATATATGTCTACATAAAACTAGGAGGGCTGCCACTTCCAACCCTTTTCAGAAGGTGTTTTTTCATAGAAAAGACATTGAAGACAAAGAAGTCTACTGGTTCGAAGATCAAAAATCTGCTCACTGAGACTTGAGCAGCAGAATTAAAGAACAATTAAAATGCCAAGCAGTGGGGAAATATATTACATGTCATGGGTGGACTGTTACAGAAGTAAAAAGAAAACAATAATAAAAAATAAATTAAAAAGAAAAATCATTTGATTCAAAACCAGTCAAAAGGTGCAACATATAATGTAAATGCTCAGTATGAGTTTTCCATCAACCAACATGATAACTTTCTGCAAAATCTCCTTTTAATGCATACAGCTATAGACCACGTCTGCCATCTCTTCGTCGCACTCTCTATCTCTCTCATGCATGGACATAAAAAAAGTTAATGGCAAAACTCTAATTTTAGGAATTCAGACAGAACCAAACCCAAACATTCCACATTTTATGTAATAACAAAGTCAAGGATTTGCCATGGAGAGAAATGGATTCAAGTTTCACTGTTAGAAGAGTTCTGCTGTAGTCATCTATCTTCTGTTCCAGATGTATTTTCAATAATAGCATGACCTCTGACTATTATTTCTTTTGAAAGAAAAACAACAAATTAAACCAAAGTTTAGCTGCAGGTGTAGTAACTAATAGGTCTTTCATCAGCCAATAAAAGTGTCATAATTGTGAAGTTGCACCATATATGATAATGTAGCCTAATAAAATAGAAAATTGCTTCTAAGGAAAACACATGTAGCCATTAATTGAAAATCTAGGTTTGGATAGCAGCTGACTGATTGCACGACACTCCTACATTAGGTCTGGAGTACTCGTATAATTTGATCGTTCCTGAGAGAAGATTAGAAATAGGAAAAAAATGGTGAATGGGCAGTGGTGTCAAAAGTAAACACATTTGTTACTTAAGTAGAAGTATAGATACTGCAGTTTAAAAACACTCTGGTAAAGGTTGAAGTATCATTTGACCTCTTTACTGAAGTAAAAGTGAAAAAGTATGCGCTCCAAAAACTACTTAAAGTATAAAAGTAGAAAGTAACCTTTATAAAAACAGCAATGTTTCAACTATTTTGAAAAAATCTTTGAGATAGGGCCAAGGATGAGGGAGGTCTTGTTGGTCTCAGTCTCCATATCCCGATACGCTCTCGCCTGTGTCCAACCTTTCAGACATTTCAACATCTTTTTTCTGAATCCAACATAGTAGCATATAGACAATTCGCGTTTGCAGTTTGAAGAACACCTGCCTGCTTCTGATGATTTCCTTTGACGAATAGCTAACCAATGAGTGTTTGCGTTATATGACTCATCCAATTACACTAGTTTTCACTAGATGTGGATGGCGCCAATGATCTGCATTGGATCGCACACACACGATGTGAAATAAATATTTATGAACATTAAACCAAAGCCAAGAGCAACGAGCAACGTTTGTCTTATAAATGTAAGGAATAGAAAGTACAGATACTTGCGTGAAAATGTAATGAGTAGAAGTCAGAAGTAGGAAGAAAAATAAGTAATGGAGTAAAGTATGTCGTATTCGTGCTTGATAAAGACCAGACGTTGTATAATGCTCAGATACTTTTATTGAAGCATCTTTTAGAGGTCTGTTTACACAGCTTGTTCACAGGTGTGTCACATCTCCTTCTATTGTTCCATTCTCTACATTTATACATTCACGTTAACTCATGCTTGCCACCTAGTGGACATAAACATAATTCATTCAATCATGACAAAGTATAGATACCTAAAAAGTGTACTGAAGTACAGTCACAAAGTATTTGTACTTTGTTACTTGACACCTCTGTAAATGGGACATTTTATCCTAAATGATTTGTACGAAAAGCACATCTGCAACAGCAGGCACTGCTTCTCTGCTCAGTTCTGAGGAAACAAGGCCCCAACTACGGCATCCAAGTTATACATAGGTGGGCTTCGCGGATAGTGATCCTGTGCCACAGGGCTACTGTAGGTGTTCACAGAAGATATAGCTTCTTGATGTGCCATGTGGCAAAACTGGTCCCCCATTGTCATCTTCCTTGCTACACACTCAGTGTTAGGACACAAGTGCAACGCTGGACTTGTAAACTGTGGGATTACACTGGAAAACAACTTGTGACTTCCGTCCCCGTTGGAAACCAATTGACCACATTGCATTTTTTTTTTTACCAGTTC